TTTTTTTTTTTTTTATTTCTAAGTATCTCATTGAGTTTCATTTTGAAACTCAAAGTCGGATCTACACGTCATAGCTTAATTATTTAATTAATTATCAGTTAGTAATATATAATCATTTTCATATATTTGTTTCAACATTTTGCTATCTTACAAAATTAAAAACTATACAATATTCTTTTTATAAATGAACAATTGACTTAACTGTACAAAATATGGTGATGCATTCACACGGCACACGTTAGGGTAATTCACTTCTTCTTTTTCGACTCGGAGATCTTCTCTTTGCTACAAGATCTATATCCAAATATAAAGTTCTTTAATTTTCGAACCAATAAAACCGCGATGCACAGTACGACTGCTACGCAAGCTAGTATGAACGCGTAAACGTCCAAAAGTTCCTGTTGCCACCAGGTAAGATAGATAGCTGGTGACTGTAGAACGAATCCGTTTCTGCTGACATATTCTATCCAGTATATAGCAGTGTCTATGGCACTCATGGGTCTCTCTCTGAACAGATTCGATAATCTCTTCATGTTCGATCTGAAAATCCGGGGAATCGAAGGCATTAAGATTTATTGGTAACGGATAATAGCGACAGAGGGAAGGAAATTGCAAAGTGGAACCAGATTGTTCGAAAAATTTACAGTGAAAGTCGAGAAACGAAGAGAATACACGCGTGGTTATTCTAAAATTGGTGCAATCGAAATTAAAAAAAAAGATTTTGCGACTTGAATCAAGAATAATAAAATTCCGTTGGTCGTTTCATTCTCGAGGAAATCGATCTTTGAAAGCTTGTCAGTAGACTGTGAGAAATTTGAATCACTCATTGCAAGTTACATTGATGAAATTATGTAATTTCAAGTTACATTTATGAAATTATGAATCTGCACAAGTATTCGCAGTCTACTTATCGAGTATACGTGAATTTGATTCTGACCAGAATTTTATACTATTTATGGTTGAAGGGCAAAGGATACTAAATAAAAGGCAGTAAAAAGTAGAAAATGGCACGAGAGGAAATAAACGAAAATGGAGTATGCAGAGTGGAAAAGTGTGTAAAAGAAGAGAGTATTTCGCGTAGTAAAAAAAAAAAAAAAAAAAATAGAAATGAGAAAATGAGTGAGAAAGACGTATAAAAAATTGAATGCCGATAAATAGGAAATCGAGAAATAAATAAAAAGAACATACGTATTATACAGAGTGTGTCATAAAATGTGAGATTCACTTCAGGTGCGGGGATACTAAACTAGATACTAAACAGGAGATACTAAGATAAAAGAAAGTTTATATGAAATGTCTTATTTGATTTTATTTCAAAGTTATAACCATCTTTGTGTTTCTTGGGGCCATTTGAAAACAACTGTCTATTCGACACCGACGTTAAAGAATTTCGTGCTTATACATGTGTGACGAAAGTTGTCAACAGATTCGACATTTTTGGAAGCTCGCGAAATCCTTCGATACTGCAAACTTTCATGCAGATAAATATTTGGAGCATCTTTTGTGAAGATAAGCAGATTATTGAAAAGTATTAAAAGTGGCTGTAACTTTGAAACTAAAGTTAAATAAGATGCATGTATGTTCATACGAATTTTTTTTTTTGGCGTTTCTAAGAGTGGAGTTATGATACTTACTTGTATGTTTCGTCATACAAGACTGTGTCAAGCGCGTTGTAGAGGGTCTCTTCAGTGATGTTATCGAGAGAACCAAGATTCACGGCCACCTTTTTGCTAGCCGCGAGTTTCAAATTCATGCGCTGATCACCGAACAGAGGGATTCCTACCAAGGGGATCCCAAAGTAAATCGCTTCTTGCGTACTCATCAGACCTCCGTGCGTCAAGAACGCTTTTAAATTTTTGTGCTCTGAAATTGGAAGCGAGAAATTTTCCCTCGTCTAATTATTCCGCATTTCCAGCAGCAATTCGAGAATGAGGTTTCATCATTGGCAACGAAATATGTTTTTTTTTTTTTTTTCGAATTCAATCAAAATATCTACATATTTGACGTGAAATTATCAAAACTGAAAAAAATAATATACGAAATTTCACATTTACTTGAAATTCAATCGCGAGGATCGTCAAATTTCACCGAAATTTGTATTTTCACGTGACAAGATAAACGGAAGTGAAAACATTTTTGGCATACAGATCGATGTAAAAAATATAGAAATATTTCTACAATGTTTCTGCGATTTACAATCAATCAGTTATATTTTTATATTATATCGCGTGTGGGTTAACAAATTATTATTCAACATTTGGGTATTTCGTAATTAATACAACCAAATATAAAGAGATTCTACTCTGTGAAATTTTTCTATCATATTCTTCGTTTTCCGAGAAAATTGAATTTGAAAATTTATCAAGCATGCTTGAGTTTAGTTAATTCCGAATAATCGACACTTTGAACATATTTCGTTAAAGATTACTTTGGTACGCGTATACTTCATAAAACTTCAAACTCGACTCTCTCGAAAACGAAGTATTCTACAAAAAAATTTTCATTCACTTTCGCACGTAGAATAACCTTCTGTCAATTATTTTTCTCCATCACGTTTAGAATTAACTAAATTCAAAATACACTGGATAAACTTTCACACTCGATTTCCTCGAAAATTTTAAATCAACTTTAATCAACAAATTTTATTCCCTTTCTTCGATTCTCTCCTTTTTCTTTTTTTACGCAGAATCACCTCCTACTTGGTTGCATCACTAATTACTAGAACATCCTGTATAATCTTCACAATAAAAGAATTAGAAATTTATAATGTTACTCACTGAACACAGTTACTTGAGGATACCAGGATTGTATCATCACGTTCTTTGGCAGTCCAGGCAGCAGGTCCTCCTTTTTCGCAACCTTCATCATTACTCGAACGGGCGCGATCCTCTCGAAAACTTTATAGAAAGTTTCGATAAGTGGTTTGGGGAATGTCTCGATCCTCACCATCGATCCAAACGTAAAGAACACGCAGCCTTGTGTACTTTCGTCTAGCCATTTTTTCACTTCCTGTTGATTTAAAGTGAGTGTAATACTCTATATGTATACTCCAATCGATGAAAATCACGCTTGGTTGCATGAAAGATTTCTCATCTTCGCGAATGATTTGCACCGATTGCGAAATAACTTGACCTAATTGACGAGACAGAAAAATTGCAGCTAATTGACGTTGAACGAAGTTGTAATTACGTGTGGCGAAGAAATACTCACGTTGCAAATTGATCATTAATTGCGTGTCTACGAGTCAGATCTGTTTCGTAACTTCGAATGCACGGTAATCACATGCTGCATAATAATCTTGACCGATCATTTTAATGAGATTATTACATTTTGTAACAGAGATATTTGTACTTTGATTTTTCTTTTCTAAACCAAAGCTTGAGTGAAAAATTCGAGAACGGTTAGATATACTTTACGGAAGATTCAGTCTTAAACTGTAATCTTCAATCTGAGCTGTAACGACTAACATGGCTTTGCATTTCACAGAATTCAACGTGTCTTCCCGCTATCGCGAATATTTAAGGATATTTCTTTCTCAACACGAAGCAACGATAATTAAAAAATTTTAAAAAGTAGTTGAAAATAAGCTAAAACGTGAAAGACGGATTTGTGTATCTGAAGAAAGAAGATTTGTACCCCACGAATTTACATATTAATGTAATACGATTATTCATTAAGTCAACTATTTGAAATATCCTCTCGGTAGAAACTGGAGTTTGAGAATGAAATTTCACTTGTGCCATGTCAACGATCCAATTTTTCCACAAAAAAAAAAAAGAAACAAATTTTCTGCGTTTTCTACTCTTCGAACGAAGAAAAGAAGGAAACGATCTTTCGCTCACCGGTGACAGGGGATCCGACTTTTCAGTGATGTGCAGGCCACCGACCTCGATGACCGAAGGTGTCGTCGGATTGATTCCATTTATACTGTAGTGCGAGTTCACCAGAATGGCCGCGACGTTTCGATAAAGATCCGGGATTTCCGTGTCTATGTTCATGTACTTTTTCACGAAATCAGACTGTTTGTTCAAATAGTAGGTGATCTGACTTGATATTAGCTTCGTTAGAACGGTATTCTGCAGCCTCTCCCAAAAAGTCATTCGCTGGCTTAACGAATGAAAGAGGCTAGGCATGAAGGAAGGATTATGCGGATTTCCTGTCACGCTGCTGAGCCATTCAGGGAAACCGGAGGTGATTAAGCCGACTATGGGTTTGTTTAGGAGGCTACCAAACCCGAGA